ACAACAACAAGGTTTATCAATGCTGTTGAATCTAATACAGGATGCTGTAGAGGATGCTATTGCATGCATTACATTTTATTTTTCCTTCTCATTGAGGGTCATATGGATTGCTTCCAATTAGGGCATATTATTACCATTTTTATACGAGTCTTTTGTTGGCATATGTAACTGTTCAAAAATAAGATGAATATATGTCTGGCATCAGGAGTATTGTCAAGCAGTTTTGCAAAATGGTTGTACCAACTCACAGTTCCATCGGCACTTTGTGAGATTTCTAGTTGCTCTACACCCTTACCACCACTTTATGTTATAAAAAAGTCACCTAGGGCAAGGGGATAAGAAACCAGGCAGAAAGCTTCTGAAAGCAAAGAGGACTTTTTAGCATTTTGCAGTGCTAAAGAGATAAACATAAGAGTTCAGGGTCAGCTAGGGGAGAACTCTATTACACATCCCAAGCTCTCTGTAGAAATCCTTGGAGGGTTTTACTTGGGATCAGGGAAGAGCCAGAGATAAATGACCCTTATCAAAACTGCAATGCAACCTGGAGTCAGCTCAGGAGCAAATATTAGTGAGGAAGGGGGAAAAAAAATCATATATATTTACCTAGATAATAGAAATATCAGTGCACAGCAGAGCAACAATTAATGTTTTTAATAGAGGAAAGGAAATAGACAATAGATCAAAGATGAAAAACTCCCCCTACAGAATTAAATTCCATTGAAATAACAACAAACTGTAAATTATACAGCTTGAAAATACAATCATTGAAATTAAACATACGACAGATGGGTTAGCAGCATTAGATGCAGCATATCAGAGGATTAGGATACTGAGAGACAGATCAAAATATCTAGACTAAAGCAGAGAGAAATATCGAACTAAGACAAAGACAAAGAGAGAAAGAAAGACTTATAGACACATTCTAGACTTATGAGAAACAGTAGTGAGGTCTAATAGAGATCTAATAGAGGATGGAATGCTGAAAAAAAATAAGAGAGAATAAGATAGAGATGGGAGCTCTGGTAGAATAGTGCCTAAGGCACTTGACTGCTAATCAGAAGGGTGGTCGTTCAAACCCACCAGCCACTCCTCGGAAGGAAGATGGGGCAATCTACTTCCGCATTGATACCACCTCAGAAACCCAAGGAGGGGTCGCTATGAGTTGGGGCTGCCTCGACAGCACATAACAACACAACAACAACAACAAAGAGAATGGCCAAGAATTTTCTAGGACCAATGTTTGACTTTTATCCATGAAATCAAGATTCTCTACAACCTCACCCAGGATAAATACACCTAAATTCATCAGAGTTAAACTGGTAAAAGCCAGAAATCAAAGAGAAAATATTAAAAGCACTTAGATGAAAAATGATACATGACCCTCAAATGAATCATATTAAATATGATAGCCGATGTCACAAAGAAATATGGAAGCCAAAAGACAATGGAATGACGTCTTTAAAGTACTGAGAGAAAGAAACCACTAAACTGGAATTTGATACCCTGAGAAAACAGACTTCAGCACTGATGATAAAACAAAGACATTTTCATATAAACCAAAAAATGAGAGGACGTGTATCACCAGTACATCTGCTAAAATAAATGGCTGCTTTTCGACAGAGTTCTTTTAAGTGGAAGGAAAATGATTCCAGAGGATTGGACTCAAATCCTGGCTCTGTCATTTTCTGGCTGTGCAAACTTTAGAAAGTTACAAAACTTCCCTGTGCCTTATCTTAAAATAGAAATAATCACAATTTCTTCGAAGAGTTGTTATAAACTTTAAGCAAGTAAAAAGACAAGAAGCATCTACCTTGTGACCAGAAGAACTAGATGGTACCTGGCTGCCACCACTAACCAATTTGAGGAGGGTCACAATACCAGATAGAACAGAATAAAAATGTAAAGCAGAACTCAAATTCTTTTTTAAAAAAAGCCAGACTGGAACAGTAGAGAACAGAGGACTCCCTGAGACTATTGCCCCTTAAAGATTCTTTAAACCTAGAACCAAGTCTATCCCCTGAGATCACTGTTTAGTGAAATAGAGTGACACACAAAATAAAGGATTGTACACCCATAAGATTGGTGCTCTACTTAAAAATCATCTGTATGAGACCAAAAAGTCAACAATTATTCAAAAGCAAAAATGAGACAAGGGGACAAGAAAACTAGAGTACTGGAAATGGAACAAACTGAACACAATGAAAGAAAATATTAACACACTGTGATCAAAGTAACTAATGTCACAGAACCATTTGTGTGGAAATTGCCAAATAAGATGCTAATGCTGTGTAAACTTTCATCAAAAACTCAATAAAATAATAATTAAAAAAAAAAAAAAAAGCCACACTTCACCAAGTGTCTGGCATGCAGTACACATTTAATAGCTATAAACTATTACTATATTGGGAATTTTGTGAGTAAACAAGCCATGAGGCAGTATGTCCACCCCTCCATCTCAGTGCCTAATAATGTTCCAAAGCAGTATAGCACCTCATGGAACCTACCTGTGACATCCAGGTGAAAGAAGACCTTCTGACCCCCAGCCTCACAGCTGTACTCCCCTGCATCTGCCTTGCCAGCCTGCTGCAACACCAGCCGCCGCCCACGGCCTGTGGCCTCCACGTGCACCCTTGAGCTTGCACTCAGTTTCTTCCCATCCTTGTACCATGCCACCTCCGTCTGGGCCTTGGCCACCTCACAGCTCAATGTGGCATTAGCCCCTGCTTCAATCTGCACTTCATTCCGTGCTGGCTGCTTCTTGGCAAACACCACCTCAGATTCTGGGAACACAGAGGTACATGAAGTCAGAGATATAAACCTAGTATCAGTGCATTCCACAAACAGTGAAGCATCAGAGTCCTCTTAATTTCTCTTAAGCTCTGTGATGTCATGTGTCTAAAAGCACTCATGTGCTGTTAGACTTGAGTTCACAAACACAACAACCCTGTCACAGAGCTGCAAGTGTACAATTTGGGGATAACCTGACTCAAGAGTAATTCCTAAGGCTGGAGGAAGGTGGTTGAGGGTTTTCCAGTCCCTGTACTTGACAGTTTATTGTCTTTTCCCATGTGACAGTCAGCACTGGGTGGGCAAGGCAGGGCTGTCTTGTTCACTAGTGTATCTTCTCTGTATGGTACACTGTATGTCCTTCATAAATTTTATTCTTCTTTTTTATAGAGATATAACATATATGTAACAAAATGCAGTTAGCTGTAAGTGTACAGCTCAATGATATTTAAATACACATACCTCCATGTAACTACCACACATATCAAACACAGGCAATTTCCAGCTCCTCAGTCACCACTGACCGCTGACCCCCTCTATGCTAATTACTATTCTCATCTCTATCCATAAGCTACGTTTTCCTCTTCTTTCATTTCACATGAATGGAAGTATATTGTAAGTATTTTGTGTTTGGTGTATTTACTCAACATAATGTCATAAAATTTATTCATGTTGTTGGATTTAACAGTAGTTTTGTTTTTTTCTATCGCTGTATAGGATGCCATTGTGTGGCTACCTTATAATTTATTCTTCCTTTTCCTTTTGAGGGTCATTTGGGTTATTTCTAATTTGAAATACTATGAATAAAGCTGCTATGAGCATTCCTGTATGTATCATTGGTAGGCATATGAAACTGTTGGCACAAAGTGTAGGCCTGCTTTTGGATTTAGTAGATATTGTCAAACATTTTTCCAAACACCTGCACCATCTTACATTCCAGCCAGCAGTGTATCAAAGTTCCAGTTGCTGTGCATCCATACCAACATTTATATTATCAATCTTAAATTGTTGTGTTCTATTAGACTCAAATTAATACATATATAATCTGTGATTCAAAGCTGACTACACAATCACTCATTTAATCGTTCGCTCAATGAACGAAGGGCCTCCTATGTGCCAGGCACTGCAGTGAGCACTCACAGGTCATGGAGCTACTTTCTAGTCAGGAAATACAAAAAGACAAACAAATATGAACATAAAAACAATCAAGTCTTAAACAACAAGCAAGTCTTAAAATGGAAAAAAGATACATGAGCCTCAAAAGGACAACACTATATCTGACTGTTAATGTTTCAACAGAAAATAATGGAAGCCAGAGGCAACCAAATGACATCTTTAAACTATTGAAAGAAAGTAGCTGCTAAACTGGATTTGACCGGAGATGACATGTCTGGTTTGAGCTCCAACATGTAAAGAGTTTGGAAGTTCATCATTCCCATCTTCATACTAATTAAAAAGCTAAATAGTTTGAAAAACAATGACTTTTCTTAGCTATGTCAGAGAACTGGGGTCACGGGGCAAACTACCACCCTCAAAACTGGACAGACAGACATTAGAATCACAGACCAGTAAATAACAGTGGTTTAGAACTAAGAGAGCTGCAAGACACAGATTGCATTTAAGGAGATTTTAGGGAAATTCAAGTTAACAGAGGAGGGGAAAAGACAGAAAACTAGAGAACTTAAGGCTCTGGCACCTACATATACAGCAAACATTAATCAAAGATCAGTTCTTAGCAAAATTATCATAAAATTTCACACTAAAAATTGAAATTGACTACCTCAATTCCCATTACAAGGCACATCATGTGTGGCTTTCAAAAAATTACAAGGCACACTAACAGGTAAAAGCCACAGTCTGGACAGACAGAGCAAGAATCTGAGACAGATTCAGATATGACACCAATTTTGTAGTTATCAGATAGGGAATTTAAAATGATTATGATTCATTGTCAGGGGCTTTCACAGAAAAAAGTAGACAACATGTAAGAACAGATGGGTAATCGAAGCAGAGGATGGAAACTCTAAGAAAGAATAAAAAGAAAATTGTGAAAACAAAGAAACACTGTAACAAATGAAGAATGCCTTCTATGGATTCATCAATAGAATAGACTCAGCAAGGGAAAAAATTAGTGAACTTGAAGATAAATCACAGAAACTTCCCAAACTGAAAAAGTAAAGAGAAAAAAATAATAACAACAGTACAGAAGAACAAAGAGACAATCACAAAAGGAATAACATGTGTAATGGGAATAGCAGAAGGAAAATAAAGAAGAAATACTTGGAGTCATAATGGCCAAGAAGTTTCCAAAATTAATGCAAGCCACAAATCCAGGAATCACAGAGAACACCAAGAAGAACAAACACCAAAAATATCTACACCTAAAAGTATCAAATTCCTAGACATAGCCCCAAAAACAAAGAGAAAATCTTGAAGCCATAGGGGAAAACCACTTTACCCATAGAGGAACAAGGAAAACTATTACATTAGACTTCTCATCAGAAACTATGTAAGCAAAAAAAAAAAAAAAAGTTGAGTGAAAAATTTAAAATGTTTAAAGAAAAAAAACTACCAACCTAAAATTCTATATCCAGTGATACTATTCTTCAAAAGTGAAGAACAGAACAAAGACTTTCTCAGACAAACAAAACTGAAGAAGTATGTCTTGAGTAGACTTGCCTTACAAGAAATATCAAAAGAAGTTCTTCACAAAGAAAGAAAGTGATATAGGTCAGAAATTTGGCTCTATATAAAGGAAGAAAAAAACTAAGATAAGAAATAAATGAAGGTAAGATAAAAATCTTGTATTTCTCTGATTCTTAACTGATCTGAAACTGTTCAGAGTAATAATAGCAACAATGTGACTACAGCATATGGATAAGTTAAATGAGTGGCTATTATAGTGATACAAAGAACGGGAGGGAGGAACTAGGACTACTTTGTTATAAGGTACCTATACTGCTATATCAAAGTAGTCCTAGTTCCTCCCTCCTGTTCTTTGTACCACTATAATAGCCATTCATTTAACTTATCCATATGCTGTAGTCACGTTTTTCCTACCTATACTGCTATATCACTTGCCTGCTAATCAGACGGCTGCAGGTTCAAACCCACCAGCCACTCCTCGGAAGGAAGGTTGGGCAATCCTACTTCCGTAGTGATACTGCCTCGGAAGCCCAAGGAGGGGTCGCTATGAGTCGGGTTTGACTTGACGGCACATAACAACAACAACAACATATTGCTATATAGTGATACAGTGTTATTTGAAAGTGGACTTAGATTACTTGCCAATGTATATAGCAAACTCTAGGGCAACCAGTGAAAAATGTTTTAAAGACATACAATTGATCATATATGACAGAGAAAATAGAATCATAAAAAAAATCAATTAAAATCAGAGAGGAAAGAAAATAAGGAAAGATAAATAAAAGAAACAAAGAAAAAGTGCAATGAAGAGAGAACAGATACAAACATGGTGGATATTAATCCAACTATATCAATAATCACTTAAAGGTGAATGGTCTAAATACAATTAAAAGATAAAAAACAAAACAAAACAAAACCTATGGCTGTCAAGTCATTTTTGTCTAATAGCTACCCTGTAAGACTGAGTAAAATTGCCCCATAGGGTTTTCAAGGCTGTAATGTTTATGGAAGTAAACTGGTACATCTTCCTCCAGTGGAATGGCAGGTGGGTTTGAACCACTAACCTTTTGATTAGTAGCCAAGTGCTTATCTACTGTGCTACCAGTGCTCCTTAATTAAAAAATAGACTGGCATATTTAAAATCCAACTACAGTATATGCTGTCTAAAAGAAAAACACTTTAAATAGAAATAAATTAATTAAAAGTAAAAGAATAGGTAAAGATATACCATGCTAACACAAATTTTAAAAAGCTGGAGTACATATATTAATCGCAGACTTCAAAACAAGGTAAATTATCGGAGATAAACAGGAGCATTACACAATGATATAAGGATTGATTCTTCAAGAAGACATAATAATCCTTAATGTGTACACACCTAACAACAAAGTGATAAAATGCATGAGGCAAAAACTAAAATAACTATAAAAAGTTGTACAGTTGGAGGTTTTACTACACCTCTCAATAACTGACAGATCCAACAGGCAGAAAACAGGAAGGCTGGGCAATCTACTTTCCTAGAGATACCACCTCAAAAACCCAAGAAAGGATCACTATGAGTCCCAATCGACTCAGCGGCAGTGAGTTTGAGTTTATCCAAAATACAGAAATCACTCTTAAAATTTAACAATAAAAAAAATTTTTAAGTGCTCCAAATTTCTTAAAAGCTGCCTCACCAAAGATATGCAAATGGAAAACAATCATATGAAAAGATGTTCAACATCATATATCATCATTATTGTTAAACACAAACTACAATGAGATACCACTACACACCTATGAGAATGGCTAAAATACAAAAAGTGACAATATTAAATGGTGGTAAGGAGGTGGAGCAAAAGGAACTCTCATTTATTTGCAAATACAAAATGGTACAGCCAGTTAGGAAGAAAGTTTGGGAGTTTCTTAAAAATATAGTCTTATCATAGGGCTCAGCTATCACACTCTTAGATATTTACCCAAGTGAGTT